GGGACCGCCATCCCCGTCTTCGTCTCTAGTTGCCGATGCTCCTGCTGCTGCTCTTGTTGGTGCTGCTGATGCTGTTGGTGTTGTTGTTGTTGTTGTTGCTGCTGCTGCTGCTGCTGCTGCTGCTGCTGCTGCTGCTGCTGCTGCTGCTGCTGCTGCTGCTGCTGCTGCTGCTGCTGCTGCTGCTGCTGCTGCTGCTGCTGCTGCTGCTGCTGCTGCTGCTGCTGCTGCTGCTGCTGCTGCTGCTGCTGCTGCTGCTGCTGCTGCTGCTGCTGCTGCTGCTGCTGCTGCTGCTGCTGCTGCTGCTGCTGCTGCTGCTGCTGCTGCTGCTGCTGCTGCTGCTGCTGCTGCTGCTGCTGCTGCTGCTGCTGCTGCTGCTGCTGCTGCTGCTGCTGCTGCTGCTGCTGCTGCTGCTGCTGCTGCTGCTGCTGCTGCTGCTGCTGCTGCTGCTGCTGCTGCTGCTGCTGCTGCTGCTGCTGCTGCTGCTGCTGCTGCTGCTGCTGCTGCTGCTGCTGCTGCTGCTGCTGCTGCTGCTGCTGCTGCTGCTGCTGCTGCTGCTGCTGCTGCTGCTGCTGCTGCTGCTGCTGCTGCTGCTGCTGCTGCTGCTGCTGCTGCTGCTGCTGCTGCTGCTGCTGCTGCTGCTGCTGCTGCTGCTGCTGCTGCTGCTGCTGCTGCTGCTGCTGCTGCTGCTGCTGCTGCTGCTGCTGCTGCTGCTGCTGCTGCTGCTGCTGCTGCTGCTGCTGCTGCTGCTGCTGCTGCTGCTGCTGCTGCTGCTGCTGCTGCTGCTGCTGCTGCTGCTGCTGCTGCTGCTGCTGCTGCTGCTGCTGCTGCTGCTGCTGCTGCTGCTGCTGCTGCTGCTGCTGCTGGGGCTCGTACTCCTCCTCCTGTTGGCGCATCTCTCCACTCGTGGGGGCTGCGCGCGACCGACTGGCGGCTCTCCTATGCGCGCCACACGACGCCCGAAGACATGGCCACCCCCGCGCATGTCCGACTGGCGGCCCATATCGACTGCTCTCTCGCACTCCGGTGCGCGCGACGAGGAAGCCGAGGAGGCACCTGCCGACCGAGTGGGGGTGGCGCTTCTGCGGGCTGCCCGCATTATATCCGCGCGTCCTTTCTGCGGTATACTTATTTCGGCTCTCGCGTCGCGGGGGGAAGGCTACACGCGAGCTGGACAAGTCCGACAGGAAAGATTTCGCGCGAACGAGTGCTCAAAGCTCGTCGTCGTAGCTCGCCAGCGCGGTCGGAGCCGCTCTCTTGACGATGACGCTTTTGTTACGATGAATGCCAAGCCGACCAATGTCTATTCGACTAACGAGGTTCCTTACCTTGGACTAATGGCAGCGTCAAGCGAGCTATTCCAAGGCTTAGCTTTAAGACACTTGCCCATCGCTTGACTTTTTCCCTTCTTTTGGGGCAAAGGATACGTCTTTCTATCGAGGGAGTTCGATGAGCTTTGTCAGCCGTTCTAACCATTAGAATAACATTCTTGAATCCTATCGAGTTTAGAAAGTTCGAGCGCGACTAGCAGATATGTTCATTTATGAGCGCGCCCGAAGAAATTGCACTTGAATTACTTATAATTGCAGATTGTACTTAAAAGTTAGGTGAACTAATTTCAATGAATTAATTAAGCGCATAGAACGATGATATTTTCAATTGAATTTGACGTACGCATTTGACGTATTCAAGTTAGCAGTAGGAAAGCTCATTTTTCGATAATAATCGATGAATAATAAATGAATGTTTATTTAAAATTTTAATAAGCCCAGATTTTCTTATATCAACAAATCGTACGTAAGCGTTGTCTACTTAACGTGGGGTGCGTGCATGCGTGCGTGCCTGCGTGCATAAGTATTTGCATTCGAAAGTTTAAAAGTAAATTTTTCTTGTTTTTTGATGCTACGTATTTATCTTGAAAACAATTGTACGTAAAATGAAAATTTTTAACTATAAATAATATTTTAACAACGAAACTACGGTACTTCGGTTATTAACATTCTTTTCGTTTCATCACTATTATTATCATTATTGTTATTATTGTCATTATTATTATTAAAATTCTTGTTGTTGTTGTTGTTGTTGTTGTTGTTGTTGTTCTAGTTGCTGCTCTAGTTGTTGTTATTATTGTTATTAAGTTTATTGTTGTAATTGAAAGGGTAATTAATAAAATTTAATAAGGTTGAAATTACATTTAAAGTATCTTATAGGTATCGACTTTCGACGGCTGCGCTCTACATTCGGCGATTGTGATGTACGCCGATGTACTACTCAATCTCTCAATGTAATGAAACAGTATCCCGAGACTTTTAGAATTTGGTATCTTTTTCCATTCCTGGAACTAACACAAGGAATCGTCGACATAGATGAAATTGATAATTGTTTATCAAGTGCGTATCTTAGTTGGGAAACCATGCGCACTTGGTGAAAATCAATAGAAGATAGAACGAAATCCTTTTAAAGCTCTCTATGCGCTATAACTATTATGACATTTGGCAACATAAATTTTCTAACATAATTCTTCACTTTGCGTGAAAATAAGTAAAAAAAAATCCATAGGATCGATTATCGATATTTAATAATAATAATAATAATAATAATAATGATAATAATGATAATAATAATAATAATAATAATAATAATAATAATGATGATAATAATGATAATAATAATAATAATAATGATAATGATAATATATTATTGATTCGTATAAGATCGTAAGGAACGTATCTTTCGAGTGAAATGTAAATCGCATGAGTTAAATGTTTGATTGCATTTGTAAAATGCTAAATGTTGTGAACTTTCATTTGTATTGATTGTTAAATGGTTTAAAAATTGCGCTATTTACATTTATATTATTGTTACAGTCGTTATTGTTGCTTCGTGCATTTATATTGCTTCTCGTAAATTTTTATACATTTACGATTTTTAATTTATTATTCCTTCGTGTTTTTTATTTTTTTAAAAGGTTGTTAAAGTACATTTCGCGCCAATAACTCTAGAATGTCGGTATCATTTATCAATCCAGTACAGTTGCTACGTGTATACTCTCACTTGATTTCTTACCTTTACAGCAATTAACTAGGTAATCTATAATTCCCATCTAATTTCCCTATAATATCCACATAATTACGAGAGCGACATTTTATGAAGCCTATAGAAAACAATTACGTTTTTACTTTCTTTTGTCATAAATCGGTATGACATTTACATATACGAGAAATACAAGTAGGAGCATTATCATTTATTCTTCACGGAGACGGGAGATGTAAAATTTATGGCGTATTAAAATAAAAAACGGCATTTTAAATTAATTAGTTATCTAAATTATTGCTTGTCATTTTAAGTAAAGGGAAGATTTTACATAGTTCGAGTAATGTTTTCTTTATGAAAATATCCACGGCACGAGAGAAGCTTTTTTGCCGGAATGGCATATAGAGGGCAATAATGAATTAATTAATACTATAGTTAAAAAATTTAGTCAGCTTCATTTTAAATCGCATTAAGCGTCGTAATTTTTACTTACTTTACTTACATATATATATATATATATATATATATATGTATGTATGTATACATAATGTGTGTACGGGTGCGTGCGTGTCAGCTCAAAAGGCACACTGTAAAATGATCATTATGGGTTGGTAGATCTTCTTCCTAGCATAAATACTTGATAAAGGCATTTGAAAAGACGGATAATACGTTAATAACGCTCGATAAAAGCCATAAAATCGAGTTATATATAACTTTCATAGAGAATATCATTAAAGCCCGGACTATGAACATTGACATATGGCTTATAAATGTAGTAGAAAAATGATCAAGGCCTTTAGCTCCCAAGTGTAATTTCTTCCAAATCAGAAGCGCATATCCACATTAATGAAAGCTTCGTACCCTTAAAAGTGGAAGAAAAAGAAAGAAAGAAAGAAAGAAAGAAAGGAGAGAAAAAAAGCAAAAGAGACGAGATAGTGAAGAAAGCGGTGGATGGGGTGGGAGGAGGTAGGGAGGAAATGGCATTCCTCGTAGACGGGTAATCCGAGAGTCAAAAAGGAGCGCGAGGGAGATGGGGAGATGTAGGTCATCCGTGCAGTGCGTGAAAGCCCGAGAAGCGAGGAAGCGAAGAAGCGAAGAAGCGAAGAAGCGAGGTACGCGGGCGAGCGACCGACTGTGTACACACTCGCGATCGACAATAAGCCAAGTCGTCGTTCGTTAAATTTTTCATCCTCGCTTTTCCGCGCGGCAAAGCAAGCCAAGCTGCAGCTCGCTCCTTCCACGCCTACGTCCCACCGTCCGCGTGCGCCTGTGTCATCAATTGAGAGGAGACGGGCTTAGTGAATGGAATGGTGGCCACGAGCGATATTGGTGAAGAATGCCGTCAAGAGGCGAGCGGTTGGAGGGACAGAGAAAGAGAGAGAGAGAGAGAGAGAGAGATAGATAAAAAGAGAGACAGATAGATGTATAGATATATATATATATATATATATATATATATATATATATATATAAATATAGACAGACAGAGAGACAGACAGAGAGACAGAGAGAGAGAGAGAGAGAGAGAGAGAGAGAGAGAGAGAGAGATACAGATAGATGGAGAGAGCGTGTGTGCGAGCGCGCGCTGAGAAGGGGGTGGAGAGGGATAGAGGACAGTCGGTCCTGTGGTCGCGCGAGCGATAGATCGGCCAGGCGATGATCTCCCTGGGGCTGATGCTCGCGCTCCTGGCGATCGGCTGTAACGCCGGCACGAGTCCCGCCGCCACCGTCAGGAGCTACGAGAACGACACCGTGCACCTGCCCTCCTGCCACGTCGAGGACCTGGGTGAGTGCTGCCACGGGCCAGCTGTCGGCGACTGTGCTCGCACGTTAATCCTTGCACTCGTCCGCGATCGGAACAGTCTCGCGCGTCTTTTATCCTTACTTTTGCCAACGGCTAAAGTGTCTCGCGATGGCCTTGTCGACCACCCTCTCGGAGCATTACCCCAACGAGACGCGGATCGATGGATTATCGAGCCACTCAACCGCCGCGCTTCCCACCTCCTGCTCGAGACTAAACTCCGCTCGAGTGTTTGCCCGCGACTAATAAGTAAAGTGGACGAGATAAAATATTAGTCGGAGGGGGGGGGGAGGCATCGGAGGATCTCCTTGGCTTTATTTGCCTAGAGTAGCTAAGAGGTAAGGAGGGAAAGGCTCGTGTTTTAAGTGCGCGCGGGCATTAAAAGATTTAGGGCATCCGATGCGATGTGATGGCCGGCACGGGGACGGACTCGGTTCTTCGTTAAGAAATTGCGAAAAATGATGTTTGTGCGCGTTTACTGGAGAATAGAGTTGCGATTTGCGAATAAGCTTGGAAATATTATCTTGATAAAATAAAATCTTTAATACGTTACTTTAAGGTAGGTAATCGCGGGTTCAAAAGTTTCTCACCGGCCTTTTTGTGCCCTGCCATCTGCAAAGGCTCGGCAGCTGCCCGGTGATTCCAAAAGGACGATAGATTATTTAAGTTTATAACGAGTGTGGGAATCGTTAATACTTGGCCAAATTCGTATTAACGCGTCGTTGAAAGTCTTCCGTATAAAATTCATTCCAAAAATTCGTAGTAAAGAATCGTTGCGTAGTAAAAAAAAACGCTGCCCGAATGATTTTAGAAGTACGAGCGCGGCCGTAATTTAATCCATCAGACTCACTTTATTCAGGAATGATGTCATTTTGGACCATCTGTGATCCCTGAATCTCGCGAGAAGAAGAGATAGACTTTGAATGATGAAGCTCGGAGAATTTTATTGTGGTGACTGAGTGAGTCCAGCCGAGCGTTAGAATACTTTGTGAGATAAATAAAAAAGAAAAGTAAAAAAAGATAAAAAGCAGAGAGATAGAGAGAGAGAGAGAGAGAGAGAGAGAGAGAGAGACATAGAGAGCGTTCTAAATTTAGAGTAACCTCCGTTGGAAATGACGGGAGTGAAAAATACGTATTACGAGTATATCGCTCGCATTATTCGACTATCGATTGTCCTTGCGAGCTCCGACGTTTTCGTACGCCTCGATCACGCATCACGGCTTCGCCATTATCCAGACGATGATCGGAGGCTGTCGTTTAGCACACGGACATCGATCGTCCGATTAACGAGGCCGAGCATTAATGGTGCAGAGTGTAAAGTCGCGGCGTAAAGCCAAGTGCGAGCAAGTGCAAACGCGAGCCCCGATGATGCGCGAAGCCGGTGATAAAGAGGGAAGGTGCCGCAGGTCTGCAGACGCGGGTGCGCTGGTGGCGGGGCGGCGTCCTCCTCGCGGATAGCGACGAACCCGGGGCGACGGGCTCGAGCCAGCGGGTGAAGATGTGGGGAAACCGGAGCCTCGAGCTCGTGCAGGTGCGCCCGGAGGACAGCGGCGAGTACGTCTGCCAGGCTTCGAGGCCCGAGCCCTGGGGCCACGTCACCCAGGTCCACGAGATCCAGGTCATGTGTGAGTAGATATCGACATTGCGCCCCCATAACACACTCCCCCAACGCGCACGCATACGCACACTCACACGCACGCACGCGCGCGCGCGCGCGCTTTGCCAATAAGAAGCCGCTCATTCGTTGTGTTATATTTCGTCGCTTTATCGTTTGAGCTTAATGCCGAGCGCAAGCCGCGGGGGACTTTATATACGCGCCAGGGAATATTAAGCGGGGCCTAATTTCCCAGAGTGAGCCGAGATCCGAGATTCGGAGTAATTAACTCCGATTCGGGGATTCCCGTTTAATTCCGGCCTCGTCGAGTGGTGCTGCAGTCGTCGAAACAGAAACGAAGTACGGATATTTCGTCGATTTTAGCTTCCGGCTTGAGAGACGAATTTTTCATCGTCATCCTCACCCTTCGACAAAATTCTTCGGCCACGACATTGATGTACAGTAATCAATGAATAATTGTATTAATCATTAATTAGCACTGATCATTATAATTTATTTACTTTACGATTTATTAGTGCCGCGAGAATGTACGCCTCGGGGACAGCCTCGGTTTCGCACTTTTTCCGCCATTTAATCCGAGATCGACGAGATTTAATTAAATTGAAATTTAATATTTGCGTGAAATCAAATGCATTAGTGATGAAGGTAATTTGACGACTGTTAGTGCATTATTCGAATGGGATATTTCATGCGTTAGGAAGAATAATGGGGGAAGATTTTACAAGGCCTAATAAGCTACTAAATTGGCTCCCTCCTTTTTCTGACGTAATCATCATAATATTCGACGGGATAATCATAGGACGATGCGTCGTAAAAGTATAATGGGGAAAATGTGCTCTGTCGTCGTCGTCGTCGTCGTCGTCGTCGTCGTCGTCGTCGTCGTCGTCGTCGTCGTCGTCGTCGTCGTCGTCGTCGTCGTCGTCGTCGTCGTCGTCGTCGTCGTCGTCGTCGTCGTCGTCGTCGTCGTCGTCGTCGTCGTCGTCGTCGTCGTCGTCGTCGTCGTCGTCGTCGTCGTCGTCGTCGTCGTCGTCGTCGTCGTCGTCGTCGTCGTCGTCGTCGTCGTCGTCGTCGTCGTCGTCGTCGTCGTCGTCGTCGTCGTCGTCGTCGTCGTCGTCGTCGTCGTCGTCGTCGTCGTCGTCGTCGTCGTCGTCGTCGTCGTCGTCGTCGTCGTCGTCGTCGTCGTCGTCGTCGTCGTCGTCGTCGTCGTCGTCGTCGTCGTCGTCGTCGTCGTCGTCGTCGTCGTCGTCGTCGTCGTCGTCGTCGTCGTCGTCGTCGTCGTCGTCGTCGTCGTCGTCGTCGTCGTCGTCGTCGTCGTCGTCGTCGTCGTCGTCGTCGTCGTCGTCGTCGTCGTCGTCGTCGTCGTCGTCGTCGTCGTCGTCGTCGTCGTCGTCGTCGTCGTCGTCGTCGTCGTCGTCGTCGTCGTCGTCGTCGTCGTCGTCGTCGTCGTCGTCGTCGTCGTCGTCGTCGTCGTCGTCGTCGTCGTCATTGTTGTCTTTGTCGTCGCTGTCGTCGTTGTCGTCGTTGTCGTTGAAACGGAAATTCATGAGAATCACGCAGAGCAATTCTAGGGTGAAGCGAGGGAAAGTTTATCGTACTTTGGAATCTTTTCCCACTGTCGTGCATTATCTTATCGATGATTGCATTATCAATCGCAATCGTTTTACGGGGAAAAAATATAAAAAAAAATTAAAAAACAAATAAATAACTAAATAAATAAAAAATAATAATCGAAGGACCTCACTTTCTAAGAGGTGGATCGATGTTTTGCAATTTTCTCGAAATCTTTTCTCATTTTCTGAAAATACTATATTCACTTTGATGTAAGGTTGGCTTATTTATGATTGAAACATCTTTTTAAGGGGATTTCTAAAGCATTAAGTGCTTATTAGACTACGGGCATTATTAATTTAATAAAATTTAATAATTACTCATACTTTGGAATATTTCAATTGTTTTTTTTCCTTCCATTTTTCATTTTTTTGTTTCTGAAGACTATTCAACGTTATTATATACAATTTTAAAAAGTAGTTCTGCATTTTTTCCATTATGATTTTGTTACGTATATATACAACAATATGTACTATCTCTATTCTTTTACCCTTATTTATTATTATTTTATTATAAATTATTTTTTTTTCTTTTTTATTATTATTTTTGCTATTTTATTTAACTACGAAAAACGCATTTAATTATTTCCATGAAAAATACATATGTTTCAGAGCCCGGTTCTTTCATGCTTAAAAAAGAATGTTTCTGAATTGCCATTTAGCTCTTAAATAAAAAATAATAATTATAATAATAATGATAATAAAAACACGAGAAAAAAAATTATGCGTAACATTCGCTTCTTCAACGCAAATTAAGAAAAGAATATATCTGAAAAATAGCGGTGTGCATAATTTGTTTAAAAGTATAAATTTACAATAAGACTCTGTTAAAGACAAATATACTTGTTCCGAGGAAGAGAGATATGTTTTAGCGCTGTGTGTACGAATTTATAAAAAATAAAAATAAAAAAAAAAAACATGGATTGTCGATTGAATATAAGATAGAACGAATGGCCCAAGATATTAATAGTATTTTTCATCAATTTCAATGATGAAATAATGATGTCGACTGGTTAAATAAATCGGCAAGATTTCTAAAAATCCCTCGTAATCGGTTAAATGCGCTTCTACGCTACGTGGCAACGAATGCTCCGGCATTAATTGAATTCTCCAGATTGGTAAATTGAATTTAAAAATTTCATTAGGCAGATCGTGAGCGTGAAAAAGGAAAGGAGAAAATCCCTGATGAAAAAATGCCGAGGGACGCCTCTCCTTTTAACGCGACACGTGAGAGCGCGACAAGTAAGTAACCAAGGCATAAAGAGAAAACGACGACGACGACGACGACGACGACGACGACAACAAATGCTCGCGGTCCCGGCAAAAGTTTATCCGACGGTGACCTAACGCGGCCACATGATGCCACGTGTGACTAATGCCGCGGGTGGGTGTGCGCGTGTTGCATGCTTTTTGCGTGCGCGCGAGTGTTTGCCTGTACGTGTTTACGCGCGTGTGTGTGTGTGTGTGTGTGTGTGGGTGGGTGGGTGGGTGGGTGTGATAAGGGGGGACTGCGACCGAGGGACTGCGACCGAGAGCGGCGGGCGCCGGCTCCCGATGAAAAGGACTTTGCCGCCCGGGAGGGAGGTTAAAAGCGAGGACGGGCCTCCGTCGTTTGTGCCTAGATCCGGCGAGCGCGAGGCCGTTGCCGGAATCCGGGCAGCTGGAGATCACCCTCGGTGAGGAGGCCCTCATGTCCTGTGTCTCCGAGGGCGTGCCCAAGCCAGTCCTCGCCTGGAGCTTCCAGGGAGAGGAGCTGCCGATCCTCGCCTCCGGTCAGCGGCTCCGCATCCAGGCGATGAGCCGCGACCTCGCGGGCATCTACACCTGCCAGGCGAGCAACGGCATCGGCGAGCCCGCCCGCGCCACCATCGAGCTCAAAATCAAGCGTGAGTTCTAAAGCTTTAGCAACCCCCCCCCCCCGTCAATCGTCAGCAAACCCCTTTGTATCGGAGACAGTTATATTTAAGCCTATCGAGCCTCGTTCCTTTAACGATCGGCAAAGCTTACGAAATCCCACGACACGAGCCCTCATTATTATTAACAAGCACGCAACAGCTTTTATTAATCCCAATAATCGGAGCTTTTTAATTAATTCGCTCAACCAACAATGTTCACCTGAAATTTTACACTGCCGAGGATTTTTATTTACTTACATTTTTATAAGCGATACTAATGGAAAGCGCTTCGCCACGAAATGTCGTATTAACGAGGACGAGAGAGATTCCATCGAGTAAGTTGTTGCACGTTTCCAGTTTGAAAACGTCAACGAGGATTAAAGTAATTCACTTCTTTTGCATTCGTCTAAATTATAACGTGTACATATATGTATACATAGATTGCATAATTTACGAAGTTATTACACGGAAAAAGCTCTTTACTGGATATAGAAATTTTATTGGGAATTTAATTTTATTATAAATGCAGTTTATTTGTGACATTTATACCTGGAAACGTCGATAATCTCATATCGTCATAAATCAAACTCAGCTCGCCGTTTTTTTTTTTATAATTTCATAAAAGTATAATAGAAGATGAGCATAGCTCATTGCCGGAGTTGGTTTTTAAAGTTTTCGCAAAAGTCACAAGAATATGTGATTACTTGGTATATTCGATCATCTAGAAGAGCCTATATATTTATAAAAAACACGTGTTCTCGTTGCTTTACTTTTTCTGCGGTTACGCGCTCGTTGTTACAGACACTGGGGAGTTAATTTTTCAACATTATTTTCGTTTACTGGCAAACTTGTTTCATTTAAATTTCAGTTTCATAAGGAATTTGATGTAGATGGATGGGTCGTGGGAGCTCGTGTATAGCGTTTGAATAAAATTAACTTTACGGCTTAAAGTGGGATAGATTTATTCTGCGTTATCGTCGCCGCGTATAAAAATTCTCTTTGAAATTATTCTAAATTTTAGTATAATTTTAGAAAATATGGCCGTGGAAGTTTTTCACCATTCAGCCCCTCGCCCAACACAACGAAATCATTAATTTTATCAAATCTGTCAGCAGCGCATCCAACAAGTTGCTCGTGAATTTGATTAATTACGCTTCACCTACGATAATGTGCCACATATTAAGTAAAATTATGATTAAAGAAAGACAATGAAACTTAAATTGCGACGAAGCTAACAATCAACGTCTTACACACAAAAGCCTTCTAATTAGCGCTTAATTTTCTTCTCCTAGGCACTTAAGTGGCCGCAAGTACTTGCGTACTTGCATGAGAGACCATTCGTAAAAAATATATAGTCAGCTATAAAACTTACGGTCGTAGAGTCGATTTATCATACAAATTAAAATTTTTTATAGCATTTTTGCTTTAAATTGAGGCACAGCGCTCGAAGAATCAAAGCTTGATTAGTTAATATCACGTAGCTTTAAAATAGTAAAGCAGTCATAGAATCTGTTCGCGGGCTATAAAATATTTAATAAAGCCTGAATAATTCATTTAATGAAATTACTACTATTATTGTGCAATGTACCGAACGTGAGCCTTTTTCAAAACTCGCTCCACTCCAATTGTATATATTTGATATGCATGTAACTAACTTGGAATTATTTTGAAACAGGAAGTAGCTCGTAAAGAGGGTCGACTGTTGCTTTCAAAAGCATCTCGCCGGTTTAGGATTTGTAAATAGAAAGATTGTTGACGCTTAAATGCACATACGACATATATACCGACAAGGCTTTTATTTTACTGCATAAAAGCGATTGAATGTTCCTCTGTCAATCATATTGCCGACCTGAATTGCACCAAATATTTGTCGCTCGTGCTCTCTCCACCATTCGACTACCGTTGTAATATTTTAAACTCATCGTTAATATTCGCACAGCAACTAATAAACCACTGCGACGGCAATGATAAGGGATCAAAATAATAATAATAATAATAATAATAATAATCATCGAGGTTATAATTGAACGATTGTGTTTCATTAGGCATTTGACCATTAACGTAAATTATATCATCCATTAGGTTGATGGGAGATGGGGGATGGGGGCAGGGTATGCCAACGATTCCGAATTATTTTCCCTGGAAATCAAGCGAAAAAGTAAAATTACGACTTTCGACGTGCTACTGATGTTGGAAAAACTTATTAAAACATCAACGCTCTACCATGTATTAATAGTAGTAATAAAAATAATAGTAATAGTAGTAGTAGTAGTAGTAGTAGTAGTAGTAGTAGTAGTAGTAGTAGTAGTAGTAGTAGTAGTAGTAGTAGTAGTAGTAGTAGTAGTAGTAGTAGTAGTAGTAGTAGTAGTAGTAGTAGTAGTAGTAGTAGTAGTAGTAGTAGTAGTAGTAGTAGTAGTAGTAGTAGTAGTAGTAGTAGTAGTAGTAGTAGTAGTGCTAAATAAATAAATATATAAATCATAATGTATTATTATTATTATTATTATTACTATTATTATTATTATTAATATTATTATTATTATTATTATTATTATTGTTATTGTTATTGTTATTGCTATTGTTATTATTATTATTATTATTATTATTATTATTGAATTGTAAGTTGGACGTATGTGAAGTTCGTAATCCATTTGTCATTTTCATGGTATTTTGTAAATATAATACGTTGAAATGCGCGACAAAAATATTCCTCCGGCTTCCATCTATTATTATTTCAATTATCATTGTGGTATGCTGTACACATATTTATCCCATAGTTATTTAAATTCCTTAACAGTCAAGTGTTTCAAAACTCAATTTGTAAACTCTTACTCTCCCTCTGCATATTGCACCTATAATATAGCAAGATTAAATTGGTTTAATAATCTTATTATCTTTAGACAACGTTTACAATGAGGTTTATTGAAATGTCAGCCATAAATTTCTTTTTTACTTTTATTTTTTCGAAAAGTTAGATTACAGAGGTATTTTTCTTCCTTTCTTTACTTTTTTTTTTTTTTTTTTTTTTTTTTTTTTTTTTTTTTTTTTTGTTATATAAGTTTATGGAAGCGACTGCACGAGAATATGCATATCATGACTTGACAATGAAAGACTTGTCGTATACTTCACTAATGCTTGAATATTCATTTTCATTGTTGTTAAGCTGAATTTTAATATCACACTAACTGTACTTTAAAATTCTAATTTACACTACTTCGTGTCCACGATTGAGTATAAATTCAATAGACAACTTATCCACAATCATCAATTTCTGTTTAAGGAAAATTACACTTTGCATAATCATGTAAAGTATCGCTTGGCTTCCCCATTCTGTCAGACACGAGAATACTCGACAGTCTTAGGCTAATAAAAGTCAGCAGTGCCAGTAAGAAGTACAAAATACTCGCGTGTCGTTTACTTATGTCAAATATTACAAAAAACATTTGAAATATTTTTCGTTTACTCTACAACATAATTAATATTCTCTTCCTTCCCTCTCACATTATACAAGGCAAAACTTATTATTCCATTCTATTAATTACCTAAGATTAAAGTGATTAGCATATTTATTCCATAATTTTTGGAATATATTTTATTGTATAGACGAGTAATAACCACGGCTCACTTACATTTATTACCCTATGAATTGGCGGTGAGAGGGGGGTGGGGGTGGGAGGAGGAGGAGGAGGTACTACGTAACTCGACAGTTAGTGTACAAGTTCCAGTATTTTATATTCCCTATATATCATGGTGGTAAAAGCCTTACTTGTCGAGTTGGTTGGGAAACCTACCCAGGACGAAACATCGTAAACCTTTAGCCAACAATATCCCTTTCCGATTAGCCCTCGCTCCCCCACCACATTGTCCCAACATAATTTCATTAATAAAACATGTAAAAGTTATGCATTATTCCTAACTAGCTAAATTGCCATTTTCAAAGTAAATTATGCTAATCAAATTTAGAGGCAAGCATACACTCTACTCTATTCTATTCATAATTAATACAACCAATAATTGCAATAACAATAACAGCAACGATAATAAAAAAAATAATAACAATAATAACAACAATAATAATTATAACAATAATAATAAATAAAATATTATTATGATAAGCGCATTAATTATGGTATAGGGTTTTTGCTACAGAAGTTATAAGAATCGTTAGACGAATAAATCAATAAATGAATAAATAACGAAATGGAGATGATAGAAAATATTGAGAATTTAATAATAAATAATCCGATTTTCAAAATATATCTGCTGTAACGAAAATTTACCCAACTCTTTATATGTTGAGCATCCAATAATTAAACATATAAATAATTGTCGCTTGATATAAAAAAAAAAGAAAGAATAGAAAAACACACACACACGCGCGCGCGCGCGCGCGCACAAATTCCAATAATAATCATTAATACACGGGGTAATTAACCATTTTATTAACTATTTATTGCTAATCGTATAATATACCAATAATTTCAAATAAAAATATCGAGTTTAAATCGAGCGTCCTCGTTTTAGAAAAAAAAGGTCATTCTATCGACAATGATTGACGAGATATGCTCTAAATAAATTACGATACCTAAAACGCACACTACGATATATCCTTGTAATAATTAAGTGTTTGGTTAAACTCGATAAAAATGCGATCTAACGAACGCCCCTCTAAACCTGCATAAAATCATATTAATTCGTTCGTTTAAGCATAAACGGTGTTAATGTTATCAGTAATGTTTGAATTGAGACGTAAGTAAGATAGTTTCACCTCGACTCTCACCAATTTTATAACCTTAAAAACTCATTCATGAAGTGCCTTTATAAGTGCCGATATAAAGATACGCTTAAATTTTATTGCTCAATTATTCTTTCTAAAAGCATTAAATTAGGCTTATGGACTCCGACTATCCATAAAGCCATCAATTTTTAATATTACTCGTTTATTGTATCGAGCTATCGAATCAATCTCTCTTTACAAAACAACCAACAATGGCCAATAAACCATCGATATCAACAATAACTATTTTTAAAGTGTAGACTCAAGCCCCTAATAAGTCGTCTCTATGCCAAGCTTTCAAAATAATTATCTCGGCAATCGTATCGGATGACCTTTAGACACGACTCGGCGAATCCTCGTGTTATCCCCGCAATTGCCTACCGACGATATAACAAATATGTCGCGTAGTGCGCGCGAAACCCGTCAAGGAAGCCTCGGGAAGCCACGGGAAGCCACGCCAGCCAGACTGAAAAAACAAAACGAGTCGTTCGAGAGGCAAACAATGGCGCGGCTTCCTCTGCCCCCCCCCATAAATCATTGATTCTGGACCAACGATTTGACAGACAAGCCCGAGGTTACGGCGATACGCCGCTGGATCCACAGCGCCCCGGGAATCCGCGCCCAGCTTAAGTGTCAGGTCGTCTCGTGGCCGGAGGCCGAGGTCGAGTGGTACTTCGAGGGTGAGAAGGTACCGTATTCCCGGCGCTTCTATCGGCACAAGCTCGAGGAGTCGACGCCCGGTACCTCCGAGCACGTCCACGTCCTCATGATCCTCAGCGTCCAGGCCCAGGATCTGGGCCAATACGAATGCAAGGCGCGGAACGAAATCGGCAGTGGCGAAGTCGGCTTCGAGCTCTCGGGTCTCGCCGAGCCGCCCCTTCTTAAGAAGGAGTCCCGCACCTCATCGAGCAACAGTTACAACTTCATTTGGGAGGTCGACAGCTACAGTGCCATCGTCGAGTATCAGTTCTGGTTTCGTCAGGTAAGCCGATCGATCGGTCATCACCGCGTAAGGCGAGCCTCGTGCGAGGTCAGTGCGAAACCGCGGCGGCTCGGTTCCTCCTCAGCTCGCGATCGGTTTCACCGAGCCAACTCGACCCTCTCGAGTCCCTTCAAGGACATCGGCTCGAGCGGTTGGCGGATCGCGTTACCTCGCCAGTAGCCTGCCTGGGGGTGGCGGGGGAGGGAGGGGTGGGGGCATTTTTCACCGTTTCCGAGAGGACGGGGCGTCTACCCTCGAGCCGCCCCCGGTACGCGGCATCCCATTCCACTTCAACATTCGTTTCATTCGAGGTCAACAGTATGATAATACTCCCGGATAATTCGGCACGCATTCATTAATTATAATTGCGGATTTAAAATTGCGCCTGCGTTTCTTCGGGCATCGATTCCATATTTAGCAGGCAATTATTGCTCGGGCGGATAAATTTATCGAACGACGCGCACTTTATGAATTATGGATTTACGAATTGCGCTCAATACTGTCCCACCGCAACTCCAGTCATGAATTACACTCAATTCAATGTGTTATAATGAGAGATTAAAGCCTACGACGTTCCCTTGGATGCCCCTTGGGGAAGCAAGTTGAAAATCCAGGAAAATCGCTTATGATATTTGCTCGTGGAGTGACAGTGAGCGCCAATAACGAAACGCGCTTGGATTTTGCAAACTCGATATGCTCAAATGCATTTAGCGCGGCAGATAGGGCGCCATTTTATCGAGAACTATTTTGAAAGTGATATGTGTGCGGCGTGAAATGCAAATACACGCGGCACTTAATTAACATTGCAAATTAATTAACGAGTAGGAGAGGGAGGGAGGCGACGGCGCTAAGCTCTAGCCTCGTGGCACATAGCACTCGTGGCCGAGTACCGCGAGCTCGAGTAGCGCGGGTCGAGAAAGCTGCGCATAATGAGACGCAGAGGGCGGGAGGGGTCGATGGGCTAAAGAGAGAGAGGGAGAGAGAGAGAGAGAGAGAGATAGAGAGAGAGAGAGAGCAAGGGCTTTACGAATATTATTAACGTCGAATTCCCGACACAGAGTCTCGAATATTTGTACAAGAACGTTAACAGCGGCCGGCGCGCGTTGGCGAATCAATATCCCGTAACGCGATGGTCCAATGAGCGTCGATGTAACGAGGTGGAAGGAAGCGCACCAGTTGCACGCTTGACGGCACTCTGTTTTCTCCATTTCCATATTTCACTTGGTGCGTGGCCTCCTGGCGGGGCCTCGTTCGGATTTGATCAAATAGCTCAAGCGACGCGTGCGTGACTCTGAGATTGCGGGGAGCTTAGAGAGGTCGAGGGAGAGGTGGAACGAGCTTTCTTAATGGTCGTTTTCACGCGGCAGCTGGACACGCGGGAGGATTGGCGGAGGCTCGTGATACCGAGCGAGAACGAGGGCGGCGGACCCCTGCACGCTAGGTCCTTCAACTTGACGGGCCTCGAGGCATCCAGGCAGTACGAGGCACTCGTCCTCGCAAGGAACCATTACGGCTGGAGCAGCCCATCCAAGATCCTGAGGTTCGCCACGATACCAGCGACCAGTAAGTAAAACGACGTGCAAGACACAGGGAACACGAGGTGGACCGTGATAAGAGATTGAGATGTTGGGAGTGATAAACTGATCGGCTTGATTTTCAAACCAACTGAAGGAAAGTCAGTCACTCTGTTATTGTAAATTAGGCTTTTGTGATTATACACGATGGGTGGTGTTCGTGATGTCGTTGATGCAAAGATTGTAATTCTCTGTAGCTTATGCCGTCATTTGGAGGACGGTAATACGTTTTACGGAAAACCGCGAAACTTTTGAATTAATGGAGAACTAATTGTTGCGCGGGCATTCTGCGCGAAATAAGATCGATAATTTAATTTAACCTAAGACGGTTTATTAATTTTAATCTATGCTATTTCATTCGTTCATTAATTAAAAATTAAAAATTTTGAATATTAAATACTAATCCGACTTTGGTCATAATATCGATGGCAAATACGTATTAATTAATGTAAAGCGCGTTTTTGCAGTCCATTACTCCGCATTGCAGTCGAATTTTTATCGTTACTCCAACAATCATAATACGACTACTAATAATAACAAATAATACTAATAACACCAATAGTACTAACAATAATAACAATAATAATAGTAACGATGATTATAATGACGATGACGATAATAATAGTAATAATAATTATGACGATTTTTAACGTGACGCAAACACGAGTAATTATATTATTTGCCTATTCTATGGTAACTAATGACCAGTGATAAATGGTGTTAAGAAATTTATGATAAAAGAACACTATTGTTCAATGAAATAATGACACGATTGGTATGGAGGATATAACTTATTAGCTATGACAGTATAGAATGAGCTTGAACGTAATCAAATGGCTGAGTTTTCCGACTGATCTTCAAACTCACGATGGACCAAGTGTTTCCGCCCTTGGTTTCACGGATCTACGGTGCTCGCGTGAATATTTAAAAATCACCATGAATTGAAAACTCCAAGAGGCGAACGACAAACGCTAGCCGTAGCAACGATTCGTGCACTATCCGTAAAAGTTAATTAATAATTCCTGGATCGCTCGTTATTTTCTTAGTGCTCACTGCCAGAGCCATTTAAAGATTTTTATTTTTCATTTCATTTCAATTTAAAATAAACTTTAGATAGAAATTTAATTGCCATCGGGTTGTACTTATCACACGTTACGCGTCAACGCCATACGTTTGACGTTTCAATGTTACAGGACCGTCGGTTTAATGTGCTACAATTAATTTGAATTACAATTAATGTTGAAATTTGTTTGGGCAAAGTTTTGTCAGTGCGCTTGGCAAACAAAACGTGCAACGGAGCGTTTAAAATAAAAACAAAATTACGAGCTTTCTCAAACCTATTCTTATGCGAAAGCTAAATTTACCTCAAAGTAAAATCTACGCGACAATTAAGACGCGAAATAAAGTATAAGAGCAATAAAGAGTGCATTATGTCATGGTCGTGATTAATGAATGGCAACCTCCCTCCATGCCACTTTTAATTGTCTTTATTTCTTTTGTTTTGCTTTATATGTATGACAAATCCTTACGCAATTATTTCTCTATTAAAATTAATAATTTTTTGTTTTGAACATTTCACGACTATGTTACGGGCGTAAATTTTGGGGGCTTATTAATAATAAATTCAAATTTTAACACCGGCGATGAATTTTTTATCGGTGCTATAATGCCAAGAGTTAAAGGGAGCGAAGTGTGGGTTACTTTTTAAAATCATTTACTTTCCTTGGAGCCTCGTTTCTCTCCGGCATCATATTAAAATCATCGATTTGAAAAGATTTTCCACGATGCCATAATTTGCCATTAAATAACCCGTCTAAGGGCTCCCGCCAATGAAAAATTAATTATAATTAACATCGTAAATAATAAAGCTCGGCCGTTCAATGGGCTCGGAAGAATTGAGATTTATTGCGCGCGTCAATCGGCACGAACCTTACGCAATTGATAAATAAAATAATAATAGCTAAGCTTGGAACCGGCATAATTTTAAAAATTGCCCCTCGTCATATTAGTCGCATGCGATTCCGATTCCCGATAGCTCGCCCATTGCTCACCTATTGATTCCCATTGGCAAGCAGTGACGGAAGAGGCGGCCTACAAAATTGACAACGACGGACACGAGCAAATACCTCCAGGCAAGTTTTCAATTTGTATTGTCAGAATTTGTATTCAGGCGCTGCGTATTCACGGAGAAAAATGACGCAGCTTTTTGTTAGCGCACGGTGCGCTGTAAGAGTCGCCAATCTCTTATAAACTTATCTCCCAGAATGGAGTGCCGAGCATTCGGTTAAAAGCCCCGTGCTGGAGTGAGGCGAGAACGCGAAAATTTGAAAAACTCGACAAGCAATTAGCAATTAGCACGTCGTATTTCAATATATTTACGGTAACCGCGCACACTATGTAATTTCACTTATTATAATATTTATTGGATTAAGTGTCGATCGATCGGCTAAACATTCGCATTCGCGTATTAATGAAACTAAGCCCCGCTAGCCGTAAGCTTTTCCATAAGCAAATTAACTTTTATAGAGTAAGACGTTCTCTGACGCGTCTTAATCCCGTTATTTAAACAGCCGTGTTGTTGTTACATTTGTGTGAATAACAAAGCATTTCTCCTTGTTAAACATCACCTCACCTCCACGTTTTTCAACTTAAATTTGCCCCTCTCATCGACGACGCGAATATTTTGCTGATAACGATAAATTTCGCATTTAAACAGTAAGTGTAATCGAACACAATCGAACGTGTTTTGCACGTGATGGCGAATATTCTTAAAGCTCGTATGGATAATGGAATTAGCTAAAGTAACGACCTAACGCCACAATAAGTGCCTCTCTCCTAATGCATAATTCTCTTGCGGCTTCCGGGCACAGAGTGCAATGCTAAGTACTCAAAGGGCCGATCGCCATTACTCTCCCGGACCGCTTGATTCTTTTTTATCGCTGGCAAATGGATCTCTGGCTTAGAATGCTCCTCCCACACTGGGAAAGCGCAACTTTTCTTTTTTTTTCTTTTTTAATTTTTTTTTCTCCGTGATACGAAGCATAGAGGGAACTTTATGGGGCGAAGCTAACGGAGCGAACCCAAACGATTTCAGCCGTGCAGGTGACGTCCGACTCCCATCGATCGTCCATGGACGTGAATTCAAGCGAGTGCCTTCGCAACAACTTCCTCGTGATGTTGATGACGCTGCTGCTGCCGCTACTGCTGCCGCTGCTACTGCAATCCGTCACACCCAGTGGCCGATCGAGCTCTATTCGCCCGCTTTTCTGATGACATCTTTATACAAAAGTCTTCTTAGTTACTTTAATGGGGCCAGATTTTTTTTATTTACCTTTTATGTCTTATGAATAAATAACCGAGATTTGCTCTCATTGTGCCTTATGATGTTGGCTCATTAAGATAGTCGCTTTGTTATCAAATAAGCGAAGGGGATTTTATAGATTTACATGCCTGCCCGATGTATCCTGAGGGATTAATATGGGGGAATATTTCATATTCTTATATAATGACGAATAATTATTATTTCCTTAGTCGTGTTTATTAATTTTTGCCTAATTGTGATGAAATTTTTCGAATATTGATACTCTATGAATGACGATATATCGGAGCAAATAGAGCAAATTTAAACGTATTAATAATTACGTGAAATCCCACTCGACATTTTTTCTATATGTAATTCATACAAAGTTTATTTATTTTTTATAAGACATTGTCATGAAAAATTTTAATGTAATTTCAATGACAAAGAAAGAAAATCGAAAAATAAAATTCTTTAACGAATCGTTCAATCTATTGTTATTTTACATAATTTCAATAGTTAAATAATTAGGAAAGAAAAATTATAAAGTATCGGACCGTATTGAATATTTCTGATTATTCAATATACAAAAACATACAGTAATATATATATATATATATATATATATATATATATATATATGTATGTATATATAATATTTACTCTTCTATTTTCACAGTTGTATATATAATATTTAATCTTCCATTTTCCAAGTTGAATAACCAATATAAATAAAAAATTTCACTTACAGCTAAAAACCTTTGATTTTCCAATTATTTTTAAATTGACAGTATAATTAAAATCTAATTATAGGCCATTTCTGGCTACGGTAATTAATAATTGAAAATACATAATTCAATAATCAGACTTTAATTTCGTCCAATTTAATTATTTTACTATGTATTTTTCACAAATTAAATGTTTCCTACATAACTATTACGCAAGAATTATTTTGAGAATAAATATAACAAAACAGTTATAAAAATAAATACGACCTTTCAATGTTCCAGCAGCGTAAATATGTACGAATTTAACCACCATCGCTCAAATTTGGACGAAGAATGAATTTTTTTTTTTTTTTTTTTTTTTTTTTTTTTTAATGTTTCTTAATAATAGCTAAAATATAGATAAATAAAAATTTTTGACCTATTTATAAATGCTCAATGGGCTTTTATTAATATTAGATGTACTTATTTAAAAATAAATGCACTCTCTCATTGTATACAAGTTTCAATGAAAATTGAATGATTATTAATAATAATTGTCTGATATGGATCAAATTAAATAATTGAATTATTATTGAAAAGAAGATTTGCATTATTATATATTACATACTTTTATTAGTAATATATACAGAATATTGTTCACAGTCACATTATCTCTTATTAGTAAAATCTTCGCAGATATACGCTCGAAACACTTTACACAGAAAGGATAATTATTAAAATAATTATTAAGTAATTTTTTAAATACTTACTTTATTAATTCGTTATCGTCGCTTAAAAAAAAAAAAAAAACAAAAAAAAATAAAAAAAAAAGTCTCTTTATATTTATATCATAAATTGGCTTCGTATCTATTACTTTTCTTCTCTTTTTTCTTTTCATTATTATTATTATTATTATTATTATTATTATTATTATTAAACTTTTAAGCAAAGGCAGTCGTATCGTTGACAACTAAATAATAATATCATTTCATAACTTTAATGATGAATTCAGTCTGTTATATACAAAATTTTTACCACGCAACATGCTCCAACATTTTATCCTGACTTGTATTTTTCGTAGGCTTATACGTTAAAAAGAATAATAGAAAGAAATCTTCGAAGCGCTTAATTTAATGTTCGAGTAAAATGTCATAAGTACTACTGTCGTCACATTATAACAGCAGTCATTCCAAATATCAATTAAAACAATTAATAAATAAACAATCATCTATTCGTGTCGCTTATCGAGCAATATCGTCGTAAATGCTACTTGGAAGATGTACAGTGGACCACTGCTACGTACTTGTATGTTCATAATCTATGCTCAACAATAAAAGAAACGATTATGGAAAGTACAATTTTCTTTATTATTAACAGGAGATTATATGCGAATTGAAGAAAAATAATCGGTAATCGTAAAAAAAATTTCCTTGTCATTGGTGAGGAAATTTTCCAAATTAAGTCGCTCAAAATCGAGAATACAAAGCGCTCGATAATTCTGAGTTACAAACAGTAACAATATCATTTTTATAATTATTGATAATAATTGTACTGATTAGGATGACAATAAACCTACATCCTTCCTGACCGCACTGACTAGTCAATATGCAAATGCGTCCGTTGACCAGTTGTATTACTTCAACACACTTGTTAATGTTATATTTGTCTAATTCAAACTCCATGAGATTGGCAACCTGTCAAATAATCCACATGGCTCATTATGTATCGCTCTAACATATGTATAAACTTCTTATATACGTTATCATTCTTATCTATCGCATTATTCCTCCTTTCTTGTCGTATTTCCTCAGCTAAAGACTGCCGCGTTTTTAGCGCCACTCTTTTTCATCGGAATTTCACGAACGCTCGCGAACAATTGATACATTGGCTGTCAACAGCGAGTGATGAGCGATTACTAAAAGCGCTGCTCTTTCCATTTATTATTTTTTTGTTCTCCACCCCCAAATAAAATTAAAAAATTGCAAATATTCGATAAATTATTTAATAAACCTTGGTAAATGAGACATCGATATATCCCGCTCTTATCTCTACGCACACCGCGCTTGTTTCAATTCATTGGCACTTATCATAAAAGTGCGTATTTTCTTATAAGATAGAATCGTGACTGCACGGCAAATATACGTTTGCCTTCATGTCCTCGCTTTACTGATTTCGGGTAATAAGAGGATGTGAAAGTGCTGTTTTAGCGAAGGAACGACGTCAAATGAAAAATAAATTATTTGAATACTCTCGTTTTATACGTACATGAGTCATTCTAATATTAAATATTTCGTGAGTCTTCGAGAGAGAGAGAGAGAGAGAGACAGAGAGAGAGAGAGAGATAAAGATAGAGAGAGAGAGAGTGATAAAGATAGAGAGAGAGAGAGAGTGATAAAGATAGAGAGATAGAGAGAGACTGCATTCCTGAGATATATTGATTTTTTTTTTATTTTATTACTTTTTTCTTTTTATATTTTTTTCTTTTATCATACTATTCGCCATAGGACACACCTGATTTATCTCTTGTCTAATATATGCTAATAGGTCAACGTATATATTCTTAATGTCTATGGTATATTTAACATTGAAAAAAATATAACAATTTAAGGTCTTTGTGGCGTTTTATTTTGTTTTTTTTATTGATGTGACGCGATTGAAATTAAAACAAAGTGGCACGATATCAAGAAAGTGGTTAATAAGCCGTGACTTTTATAAATTGAGCTTATTTTTAAAAATACTAAGATCCACTCCTTATCTAATTTATGAGTGTTAAAAAAAAAAAAAAAAAAAAAAAAAAAATCGCCATGTAATATTTTCTAACGGCAATATATATCTAAGTATCATCGTGAACCCAATTTTTGATTACTAAAGGCTAGTTGGTCGGTTCTCATAAATTTTTTTATCTTATTCTCTATCGCATATAAGTATACATATATATATATATAAAAGAAAAAAAGGAAAAAAAAGGGAAAAAAAACAAATAGAAAAAGAATTAAAATTACATTGATAATAATTAATTTAATAAAAAAAAGTAATTGTTTTCATTTTATCATTATCCAAAATAATCAATTAATTAATTCAATATTTAATGCGTATATACAAAACTGAAAATGTCAGCAAATACGCTTTACTACTACTACTACCAGTATAGACAGTGTATAATTTTAATGAAATTCCACACACCATCTGCATACATTTTATGACCTTTTTTCATTATTCATATCATATGAAAATAGACATTATATCCACAAAGGCGTCGCAGATATTTATTTAAATTGATTTACAAAACGTTTGTGATTTTAGTTTCGAATTATCCAGATAAAAAATAAACCCATTCATTGTAAAATCAATTTTAAACAATCAATTTTAACGTCAAACTGTAATTATAAGCAAATCGCATTTATAGGTAATTTCGTCGATATTAAATAATAATGTAAACATATTTTTTAACTAATAAGTCATTTTATAATTATTACGATTGCGTTTATAAATGCTTATTACCGCTATTTGCTTATTATTATTATGACCATTATCGATGTAGGTAAAGAGTGCTACTAACACCATAATACAACAATATCAAAAACAAATGTGTTTATGTAACTTTAATACGCTTATTGTTTTCTGACATATAACAAATAAATATCTTGAGACATTTGTATTATAATTACGAATAGATTCAACAGTTCTTGAGTGTAGTGAAATAATTACACTAGTAATTATTCGCAACAAGCATAGTTCATATATTATATTTTCTATATGTTCAAGTACAATTAATTGACCCTTGATATTTATAAATTTATTAGCCGAATAAAAAACTTAAACAAATAGGTTTACAATATATATATATATATATATATATATACATATATATATTCATAATAGTGGCAACTTAAAAAGGCAATATTTTCTTTTATGTATAAATTCAATTCGTTATTTGGTTGTTTTCTTTTGTTTTTGTTTTATTTATTTTTTTTTTTTTTTTTTTTTATCGAACCATCAGGAGCTCGTGATAATTTCAAATATCAAGTGCAATTTGAAGAAAAACATAAAATATTTATTTAATAATGTTTTAAAGCTATTTTCATTCGCAAAAAGGGTCTTTTTATTCATTTTATTTCGTATATTCGTATGTAAAATTATTTATTTTTATTTAACACATTTTGCATGATTTTTACAGACGCGTATCGTATAGTAATAAAAGAATTTGTTTCACGTTTATTTAGTTATTTAGTATGTGATGATGATACACTTAGAGTCGGACAGAC